TCCACTACCTCAACAGCATCACTTATGGTCTTACATTCTCTGTCCATTACTCTGCAGCGCATTTCTACAGATAGAGCTTTGTAAAATTGCTGTAAAGCTAGCATTTCTTGTGCTTCCGGTTCTAGATTTCGATATGCTTTTCTTGCTAGGAGACGGAGATCATCACCAAATGTGGCAATTGATTCGCCATACAACTTACTGCGTGACTGAAACTTAGATAACCATCTAGCTTGTTGACGGTGGCTACCAAATCTTTGTTCAAGAGAACCTACGAGAACATCATAATTGCACTTATCAGAGGCAGGTAGGCTAGTGTAGAAAACTCTAGCTTGACCTTTAAGGCTGGCAGCTAATGTCAGTAACATTTCTTTATCCGTCCATCTGCCTAACTCAGCACAGTCCTCAAAATGAGAGAAGTATTGCTCCCAATCTTCATCTCCCGTAAATGAATCGGGTTTAATTACTATTGACGGTCTTGGCGTTCCATAGCAACAATACATGTGTCCGTCTTTTGTACGTCGGTCATACTGTCTTTGATCTTGTTGACCCTGCATGTGTATTGGAGATTGATGCAACTCCTGGTGATCACCATTACCAGGGTTAAACTGAATTTCAGGATCTGAATTGTCATCCATGTCCGTTAATAAGCTTACTTTGATTATTATAAAATTAAAAGAAACAATGCCTAACCTGTCCTGCAGGGAGCTTCCCGTGGCTTAAAAGAATATTGAATAAATGTTCATATTTCTAACGGATAGGAAACAAAAAGTTCTCTAAACATGTAATATAATATAGTTAATTTATTTATTTTTACTCTGTTATATACAGAGAGATCTACGTTAAAAGAAAAGAAAATCCGTACACAGTTATTCTTCCAAGTTTGTTTATTTATTGTTCAATCGAAATTCCGTTATAAATTTCCGTCGGCGAGTTCGCAACAATAGAATGTTAAGATCCCACTTCTGACACCAAATTGTCAGGAAAGGGCCGGGTCAAGAAGCAGGAAATCGCTAAACTTTAGTATACGATATATAGACGGAATTAGATATATACGGAAGAACACGGTTTTTAACTTAAACTGGTGTTTATTTTTGATAAACAAATAAATAAATGCAATGGAACAAACTTAATGTATATGCTTCAATTAATTGTTAATGTATGTTCGTAAGACTTTATCTGTATATGATACAAGGTGGGTTTTGTGTGTCCAAGAATCTGTAAAACTCAGTTCATTTCAGTTCAACGGTACAACTCAGTTCATTTCAGTTCAGCGGATTTAAGTTCAACGGAATTCAAGTTCAACGGAATTCGCTCCAGCGGAATATTACAAAGTAATAACAAAATATCAGCGGATTTATATTTGTAACAATCAAAGATTCATTTCATCAGCGGAATATAACTCAATATAATGTTTTACCAAAGCAATATAATTATTTCAGCGGATTCTACTTGTTTACAACATAACGAAAGGTTTTCCGCTCAGCGGTTGGGAAGCTGACATTGAATGTTCGCGCCTGTATTTATATACTTTGGCGCCTTGATAACAGCGGGTAAAAAGTACCAGTCCAAAACATTTGAATAAGGCGTCGACCAATGAAAACGCATAGCGGATTCCGCTAGCCAATCACAAGTATTCAGTCTCCAAATAACTCACTGTCTGTCTACGCCGCTTAAATAAAATAGCTCCGCTGTAATCCGTTGTTTAGAGTTTACTATAGTTTCACAATGAATAGAAATATAAGAGACATTGTTTTAAATACAGAAGATAAATGTTGTTTATTGGTACTTTTCTGTAGTTAAAAACTTTCCGTTTATAATTTATCGTTTGGTTTTTGAACGGAACTCATTTCCGCTGGAGACTTCTTCATAAAAGTAAACAAAACATGTTTCGTCAAGGAATTCCAATTATGTGTGAGTAACTGTTGTTTAGAGGTTATAAATAGCGTATAACTTCTTCGACAGTATAACTTGAATGAGTTAAACCAGCTCGTACTTCTAGCTGGATTCAGATATTGCCGTCAACGTAATTATTGTCACTAGTTTCCGCGAATCAATAGTTTGGGTAAGACGAAATTGTTAGAGTTATTTTTGATTTTATAGTACAATCTTATTCATATTTGATGATTTAACGGTGATAATTGTTCAAACACTTCAGTTTCATATAAGTGGACGACTTGATATATGATATATAACAATATGTCGGCCAGTTTGAAAATAGTAAGTCATCATTTAAATCGAGGTAAATGGTGTTACACATCAGTTCTTTACATTTTTCAGTTACAACTTCAGCAAAAGAAGCTAACATGTTGCGATATTTGGAAGACACTTACTTAGGTCTGTCTACGATGTACTTCCCAGTCCTGTAAACCTAAAACCATGAGGCCTTTCTTACAACCCAGAGTGTAAATACTGCGGAAAACCAGCAAATCTGGAGCATATCCTTCATGCAAAACTTCCTGAAAGATGGGGGGTACACTTGGCGCCATGACAGAGTCATGACATCAATAGCAGGGCAATTGGACCGTGCAAGGCGTTTCCAGAAAAATAAGGAAAAGGGTGTTCTATGCATTCCTTTTGTGAGAGAAGGTCAAACTGGACGAGCGGGGAATCCTAGAAAGGGGATTCTTAGTACAGCTAAGGACTGGCAGATGGAGAAGAAACTGAAGTTCCCTGAAGAAGTAACTGTGACCAAACTATAAGCTAAGACCAGATATTGTTTTATGGTCTTCAGTTAGCAAACAAGTTGTTCTACTTAAACTCACAGTGCCATGGGAAGAAAGAATCGAAGACAGTTATGAGAGGAAACTGGAAAAATACCAGCCTCTTGTGGATACCTGTAAGGAAAGAGGTCAGAGGTCATGGTATTTTTCAGTGGAAGTTGGTCGCGATCACTATGGCGAGCCTTTAGTTGCCTTTGTATAACATGACAAGCGCGCAACAAAGCCATATCTATCATAGCACATGAAGCAGAGTCAGCCTCATTGTTGATCTGGCTAGAGAAAGAAGAGCTATGGATGGAGGATCGAAAGACCAAAAGTTAGGCAGTACCCGCTTCAAGACAGATGAAGGAGGGATAGCTGAAGCCTACAATCTCCTCGCTAGAGCTTGATATCGGCACACTATAGGTGGGCGTAGTGGGAAGCGCCGAAACGCCCAAATGAATATGGCACCCACCTAAGGAAAGAGATGGTAGCGGCAGTCGGTGCTGTATCTTCCTACCTCTGCTTAATTTAAAATACTAAAACTATCTTTACTTTGTAACCAAAAAATATGTTTTTCCAGCAAATAAGAACATTTAGAAAATGATGTTTGTTTCAGACGTATACACAATTTTAACGGACTATTGTTGTTTGTAAAATGTTGTTCTGTTTTACGTAAAAATATTTATTTCTTGCACAAAAGCTTTGTTCTTTAGGTTTATGAATAAAATCGATCAATTATGACCAAGTTGCACACTGGTCACATGAAAATATGCCAATACAGCGAAATAAGTGATGACGCGGAATTAGTTATGTTGAGTATACTATGTATAAATCTAATTATATTGACTTATAACAGGTTATGTTTTGTTAAATCGTGGAAATTTCTATTGTTTGGCAATATTGAACTGAGACATTTGAAAATTCAGTGACCTTTTGTCTTCCGAAGTATATTACACGGATTTTTTGGTACGGCAAAACGGTATATATGTAACAAATCACCTTTCATATCAGCCTCAGTGACAAGGTGTGGGCGTTTGGTTGCAAACTGAAGGATGTTGGCTTCTATATATGATAAAAACATTATTTTTCTATTTTCTTTTATTATTTTCTAATGACAGTTAGCGAAACTTTTTTTTGTACATGTGAATCACTAATTGTACGACTTTACATATTGGTATTAATGAAACTTGGCATATTATCAGATTTATGATATCTAAAAACAGACACCAAGAAATTTAACAAATAACTTTAATCCAACCATGCTCCATCAAAATAAAGTGTTCATTCTATAAAACATCTAGTAAAAAAAGAACTGAAAAAGACATAATCCATGAAGATATCTAAGAAAATGGTTTGCCTAGGACTCGAACTTGAACTTGTAGCTACACTATTTCTATTCTGTTGTGCTTGCTGCTAAGCAATGGTCTACTTTCATTTAAACTAATGCGTAAATCGTAAGACAAATGAGCCGTGTCACGACAAAACTAACATGATGGGTTTGCGACCAGCATGGATCCAAACCAGCCTGCGCATCCGTGCAGTCTTTTCAGGATCTTTGCTGTTCGCTTACCAACTCTTTTACAAGCGGAGAAACTGACAGCGAACAGCATGGATCCTGATCAGAATGCGCGGATGCGCAGGCCCGTCTAGTACCATGCTGGTCGCAAACGCACTATGTTGGTTTTGTCATGACACGGCTCAAATATGGAAACTACCGGATAAGCCTTTCAAAAACAAATCAGTCACGGGTCAATATTGCCAAATTTTACTCTAAGTCAAGTAAACTTCAAGCATACTTAAATTTAGTGGTTTATGACTCATCAACAACATATATTGTTTTTAAACAAGCACACCTTGAAAATTGTTACATGCGTTTTCGAAATATATATTGTTTTTAACTAAGTACTGGCATTAAAACATATAGAATATAAAAACAAAAACAATGAGTGAGCACCAGGACACCGCTCCCACGTATTGAAATAGCAACCAAAACAACTATGATGCATTGAATAAGATTTTACATATCAATTTAACCCCTTTTCCCATCGACAGGTCATCTAGCTGTAGATTTTAAAGTGGATCTCTTAAGATTTTAGATAAATAATTCTACATTTAAACATTTAAGTGGCAACAATGGGATGGCGCAGTGTATAACCACTTGTTTAAAGCCCTTGGCTTATCAGTTAGGGAGCTAATTACTGTAACCAAAAAAGGGCCATTGACGAAATAGTGACGTAAATCAACCCTGATTGACGTGGAACGAAATCGGTGACCAGGTGTTTAAAGAAAATCACCGGAAAGATAAAAGGCTCGTATCGACCTTCAGAGATCAAACAGTCGCTAATTTAGCACATGTAGTGTAATAATGCAGTTTGGCGGGGCACACTTAAATCTCACAAAATCGTTTTGGCCTCATAGTTGATAAAATTAATTTGAATTCTGATTTGAAAAGTTTTATATTTGAAGAAGTATGGCAAAGAAAAGATGTTTAATTGTAGGATTAGTGTTATTATTATCGGCAGGTAGGAATAAAAAACACTTTAATTTATTTCAAAATAATTATCTAAATCATTTTCTTTATGCTATAATATTGTTACTTTTAATATTATTTGTAATTAATGCATTAATATTTGCATTTTTTAAGAAAAAAGATAGCCATTGCTTTATTAAGAATTTTTCATTTTCGTTTATTTGAAATGTAAAAAGGTAAGCTAATGGTATTATATTTTATAACATTTATCTTTTGATTTCTATTGTTTTATATTTTGATATAGATTAATTCGTTTCAATTTAGCTGAATTAAGATAGGAAAGAACCTAAATCAGTATTAAAAATACTTTTCATTTATTTTGTCATTTATGTACTAAATCCGTAACTTAATTATTGAAATTGCAAAACTGAAACGTATTTGATTATTTATTTGTTCATTCTTTCTGTTTGTTCGTTCGTTAATTAATCAATTCACACATTCATTCATTCATTCATTCATTCATTCATTATTTATTTATTTATTTATTTATTTATTTATTTATTTATTTATTAAATTGATTATTTATTTATTTATCTTTTTATTCATTTATTATTTAATTCATTTTATTTATTTATTTATTTATTTAAAGTCAACAAAAATATAAACAAAAAATGCGTTGATTGTTTACAGGTTACCTGTGCCTGCCATCAAGGAGAGACTTGTTTGATTTGGACTGCGACAAAGATTTGAACTGTACGGACGATGTAAAGCCGGTCTGCGGATCCGATGGTGTATCATACACCAACCTATGCTACTTGAGAAGTGAGCACCAGTACCAAAATTGTGTGTGAGTAAAATATACTTTTGTTCCATATGTCCCTTGTTCTAATTCAGTCTAGTTAAGTATTTTTGCATAAATATTTTAGATTGTTGTTCATTTATATTTGAAGTAATACTAAGAATATATACATTGATATATGTTATATTTATTTATCGTTTTAATATTTCAGGGTCGGGAATTTCAACCCGATACTTGTTGTCAAGGACGGAAACTGTACGGACGATGATGGGAAGGGTGTAAATGACGGGGATAAAGTCCGTACCGACATCGTTGTCAACTACAAGGGAAATTAAGAGAGCAGACGATAGCAAGGTTGTGCAAACTACTTGACGCAATGCAAATGAAGACTTTACCTAGACTACCACATTTAAGCCAACCTTATCGCTTAGCTCACGGCTCTAAACATTGCTAAAAAACTTTCACGGCAGTGTTTGGATTCAAATCGTGAACTTTTGTTCCAGTGCTAACCTTGGATATTAAAGATCTCTGTTTCCTGTATTTGACTTTTCCTAAAGTTGCATTTGATATACATGTATACGTGTTGTTTTAACGTAAATATTGCGTTAAACTGAAATTAATCGTTAAGAAGAACCATTTAGTATTTGTTCTTATTTGATGTATACAATGTATGTTGTTTGAAAATTATCTTAAATCACTTCTCTTTCTTAAAGCGGCATTTGATATGCGAGAGCATTTTTTGCCTATATGTAACCTTTAATATTGTATTATTATTCTTAAATGGAACAAATACTGTACTGAATATTTTAATTACATTTTCAGTCATAAACTTTTACTTATTTTTTTTTACTTTCAACATTAATGTTTTTAAAACCAAATTGATATAAAAGTTATTATTATTCGTTTCAACACTTAAATAAATCTACCAAAAATCATTGTCTTTTTATGTTTTTTTCTCTTCTTCTTCATGAACGCTTTGAAAATACATGATGAGGAACTTTGGTTTTCTTTATCTGAAAGGTCATTTGATCTTATCATTCATTGTAGTCAAAAACGACAATTTCTTTAAAAAGTCAAAAAGCATTAAGACGACCAGGAGATACAAAATGTCATATCAACTCAACGCTTATTCTAACTGCCAGCTCGATAGCAGTTCAATCGTAAGAATCATTTGGGTTTTGTTTTTTTCTCAAAGAAATTAAAGTTCCAAAGTTCAGCCGATGTTCAAGTTATGAAAAAATGTCCGAGGATGGTATCCATTAACAATTACATTTTGGAATAAAGACATAAAGACACAGGTTTTAAAACCCTAAATATTCTATACAAAAAATGACAAATGAATTATAATCATTAAATGGCATCGAGAACCACATGTTCAGTTAACAAGACGCATGCCTTAAGAAACGAGCACCTTGCAAAGGGCCACCAAAAATTAACAACTCTGAGTTTGCCGAAGACTAGATTTTAAAGAGAAATAAAATCTTCGGAAGTGGTTGAGCTAAATTTTTTTATTTATATAAAACCGACTTCTCACCTCTTTCAAATATAGAAAAAAAGAATCCCTGAAGAAAGTCCAAAACGGCAAAATTGAAAATGTTGCAGGCTCGATTTGATTTTGCCTGTTCACGGAGGTACTTTAAAGTGCAAACTTCCGTTCACGCCCCTAGCACCGGCTTAAGCAGAATTCAACATTTTAACGTGAAATTGGTGAAATTTTGTATTTAGAAACATCTGCAGATGTGTTCATACGGCGGTTATCATGGAACCTTCCATGTAACACGTTAGTGCCATCCCATCAAAAGCGACATATTGTCCCAAGTAATAGAAAGCGCGTGCCCTAAATGAGAAAACAATGGGCGGAACTAAACAAAATGGAATTTTGAAAGGGGATCAGAATTCAAACTTGTTCTGTGACTTTACATCAAACAAAAATTAAGGAACATCTTGGATGGAAAATTCTGTATGCGAAAGCTCTGCAAAAAATTGCAGCCGCTGAAAAAATTTTGACGTTTTTGGGCGTTCTTTATAGTGATTTCATTTTTCTCCCTATTTACAAATCTAAAAATATTTAGCTTTCTTTTTGACTTTGTTGTTGCTTAATTATAATAAAGGAAAAGTCTTATTGAAGTTTGATTGGTGTACGTATGTATGAAGATACTCTTTATGCTTTAACTTGATAATATCTAAATAACATTTATTTTCAAAAGAAAATAAACATAAAAAATGATTTTTTTTCCAATCAAGGACATGAATGCGAACGCAAGTAAACTTGATAAAAAGTAAAAACAAATGGAGAAAAATATTCACTACCGGCAATTTTATTGATGAATATTTTACTTGATTTACTTGTAAATTAACATGACTGTAACATACGGCAAGATATTTATGTTATTAACATTATAAATATTCATAAAACTATCTCTTGCCATTAGGTCAACATTGATCAGAACGTATTCCAGAAATTACCAAAAATAGCGAAGTACAAAATTATTCAGTGATTCAATAAATTAATTAGTTAACTTGCAAAACGTCTATATACCTTTATACAAATGTTATAAATCAGCGACTGATTTCGTCGCAATTTTGATTAAAATAGGACTGTTATGGTAGAATTTATGTTTGTGGGTTTTATTCACGATAGTTTCGAGTATCTTGTAAATAAATAACGTTTACGACATATTTACGAAACTTACTGGTTGGGAAGATGAAAAAACGGAGGTGTATAGTAATTGCATTACGCTGAAATAAATTGGCTTTAAAGTAAATACAGAGACGGCTAATATTGATTGACCCCGTACCATGGTTTTATTTCGGTTAGGGCTTGGTCCAGTTTCGATGACTTAATAAAGGGAGGAGATAAGCCGTAGACTGTCTCATAGTATAACCGCTAATCCATTCACCTTTTGATTATCTAAGGATTTCTAATTTGATATGTCTATCAAAGCTGGTAATGCGTCGAACTTGAGTCTACTTTATAAAGTTTCCGTCATGAATATTTGGTAAAGGTGAATGTATTCAATGGTGAGTCACGTCTTAGAGTAAAGTCCGTCAATTTTATTCACATTTATTTTTTTTATCGTTTTACAAATTGTTTAGTATGAAAGAGATAAAAAGATAAAATGAGGTTTTTTTAGAACTCACTCTTAGATTGTTTTAAGCGATCGTAACGTGAATATGTCATAGTTACAAATGAATCAAATTTACGGCCGTCATCATCGTACCAATTTTTGACACCTCCTGTTTATTTAGCGAAATGGCTCCATAAATATTACAACTTACAATTACCAATATTTTTATTATGTAACGTATGTAATAATAGTATTAATATCTACATACGAAATTTTTTTACGAATAATGACATGAATATAAGCTTAGGAATCAAGCTGCGAATAATGTTAAGAATTATGGTACAGGCCACGCTAAATTATAGGTTTGTTTAGGATTTCCAATAATATCATAAACTGTGATTAAAATCATGTTTTCATAAATAAATTGTACGAAGTGCATTTGGAATAATAGTATGATTTTTTTTACAAAAAATACAAACATGCTTTGACAACAAATACAAACGCATTACGAATAATGGCATGATTTTTACTTTGAGTTGTACTATGAATATTAGTAAGTACAACGAATTATGACATTGACCATAATACTAAATATGCTATGAGTAATTGCACTAACTGCTTTACAAAAACATGACACAAAATCAGTGAAATTCTGTCATTTTTATTATTGTGCATTCTGTTTATATGTTATTAATTTCTTTTCTTATCTTGGTTGGATTTAATTAAACAAACATACGGCAAGGATTTAATTAAACAAACATACGGCAGTTCATTTTGAAAAACCACGTGAATCATTTATTTCTTCTTCAAAACACACCCTTACTTCTGTGATACGCATGACATGTCCTTAATATTGTTCCTGTTATGTGCAAATTAGTTGCGCAAAACTAAATATAGAAATCGTCATCACACCAACAAGAGTTAAACACATTTTTCGTGCATAAACATCTGACGCATGTAAAGCTCGAGTGCGCAGGACGAGGGCTTTGATAAACCCTAGGGCTTCTGCAGATTTTTAACAATAGCATTAACGCTATTCTTGCATGAGTATAAAAATATAATTTTAATTCCGTATTCTGCGTTTCGTTAATTTTTGCTCGTATAAAGAAACTGGTTTCCACGTGCTTTTCTCGTGCGAGTGCGATGTCATAAGACAGTTGTTGTACCAGGTTCGACATTGCACTTTTTTACATGTAAATAACGACTAGTATTATATTCTGAAATATGCATAATATATAATATTATATTAAAGACGAGGCGCGTGTATATAGTGTTGCGGTGCACCAAACCAATGTCTTAGAAAAAAACGAGAGCACTAGGATTATATCTGTGTTATTCGATACACAATTGTAAATAGACCGATTTTGGACGGCTTGACGTGAACGGCTATGAGGGCAGGCATACAAAATAAAGCTTAAATTTGCAGGCATATTGATTAAGAAAGGAGGTCTGAGATTTGGATTCTAACCTCCCATTGTCAATCTCGTGCTACGGTTTGATAGGAGAACTTCAAACCACTCCCTTGTCATTTTTTACAGTAGGCTGCAATTGTTGATATTACATTTATACCAGCCATTGCTTTAACACGGTAACCTCAAGCTTTATCTGTAGTCCCCTTATTCTGTCCGAATGCGTCATTAACCGAAACTCTGACGTAAATGTGATTTCAATTGACGTCGATCAAAAAAGGGTCAATTGTTTATAGAAACTAACTCGAAGATAAAAAAATCTCGTTCATTCAAATCGGCCTGGTTGTCATTTCACATTTACGATAATGAAGTCTTGTGCTTTACTTCTGTGTATTTTAAAAACATTTTCAACTTGATGCTTACGTAATAGTAATTTCAAAATTTTGAAAATTAAAAATATGGATACCATTAGCTTTGCTCTGAGTATATGTGCTTTTCTTCTTACAGGTATTGTACATTTAGAATTTCAATATTTTGCCTTTTCTTGATTTTGTGGGTCATTTTTGTACATTCAAATTCCTTATTTGTTTTCCTGTTTTTCATTGATCAATTAAAATATTACAGTGCTATGCATTTAAAATTTACTTTGTTGTTGTTTTTTTTATGGTGTACACCTAATAAATTTTGTTTTAACAATTATCATCTAAAGTCCATTTTTAAACAAGATATCTAAACATAGACTATAAGTATAATTCAATACTTTAAATATCATGTCAATTCTTATATACTAAACGTGATTAATTTGCAGTTTTATGTTAGCATACTTCTAAATCATTACGTAAATAGGATTCATACAATTTCTCGTTGTTGTTTTTTTTATACAATCCATTCTTTGTTTTCAAAATTTATTATTATATTATTATTATTATTATTATTATTATTATTATTATTATTATTATTATTATTATTATCATTATTATTATTATTATTATTATTATTATTATTTTTATCATTATTATTTTTTGCCCTGTGACCCCTGTCAATTTTTTTTTAGAAGAAAAGGTAATAAATAAAAAAAATTCATTAATGATTCTGTTGTATACAAACATAAGTTTTAGTATTTGACTGTTACAATTAAAAATGATCGGAAACCAGACCAGCATCGTTTAGTGCACATGAACCCAACCGTCCAATATGAAAGTAATATTTTTTATCAAATACGGGAATATTTTGGACGGTCGAGAGGTACAAATGCAGATTGCCGATTGGTTAGATTTATTAGTTACATAATAAATTTATTCATTTTTTTAAATTAACAATCTTAGGTTAAAGAGACTCCACTGAGGCGTTTTTACATGACGGGACTGGAAATTACTTTTCGGTATGAATGGTTCATTTGATGGAGGTCTAAACAGCGCTACAGCGCTTTTCTCTCAAATCGGGCGATGAAATGCAAATTACGATTTTCAATTTCTTTCTGAGTATATTTTTTAATTATCTTTTTGCATATATATAAACATACTTACAAATACTGCATTTAAAATATTTGTCAATGCGCCAATAGACATGTAAAATTTATATAGTACTATAATACTGTTGTTGTTATTGTTAAAATTATTTTATATATCATTATTTCACTAATTCCAGGCTACATGTGCCTGCCTAGGGAAGAAAGATTAATATTTAAATCAAACGATGATTTCAACTGTACCGAGACGCTGAACTGTACGGACATATACCAACCAGTGTGTGGTTCTGATGGTGTAACGTACGAGAGTATGTGCCACCTGAAGCAGGAATACCAACGAAATGTGTGCGAGTATGTCTTCATTTTATCTTGCTAGTGATACCAGCTTCGTACCTATAAGTAAAGAAAAGATAAACATACATTTTAAAGGAACTTCACTGAGGTCCGTAGCCTAAAACATAAAATTTGAATGTCATACATAGATCACCTGGGAGAAATAAAACAGAAAAAAATATTCAAAAGGTAATTAAGAAATATTTCCAGAAATAAATTGTTAATCGTTTTTTTATGCTATTCTCTCATTTTTCACAATTAGAATAATCATTCTGGAAAAATGGAGTGAGCGACGATCTAAAATTCTGCACACAAGTTACTGGTCCTGCATCAAATGGAGTATCTTGAAAAGTTATTTGAGCCGCGTCACGACAAAACCAGCATCCGCGCAGTCTGATCAGGATCCATGCTGTTCGCTATCAGTTTCTCTACTTGTAATAGAGTTGGTAAGCGAACAGCATGGATCCTGATCAGACTGCGCGGATGCGCAGGCTGGTCTGGATCCATGCTGGTCGCAAACCCATTATGTTGGTTTTGTCGTGACGCGGCTCATTTCAAGTTCCATTATGTCAAAGCAACCTCAGTGGAATACCTTTAAATGTAATTCTACAAATCTAAGTGTTTTACTCTTTCATGTAAGAAATTCGATTCATTTACATATATTTTTGCATGAAACCAGAGTCTGATGTAATGTATGAAATTCGCGTGCTATTTTATTATTCAAAGACAATGTAGAGAGTAACTTAAATCTGATTTTCCAAAAAAAATGTCTGTGGTTACTATATGTGAAGAGTTTAAACGATTTTTTTCTAATACATTGTAGTAAAAATTTGCTCTTTTGAATTTGAATGTTACGGTGTCTCAAATCAACTTTAAATTTTACACAATATATCAGATAACAACTTCAAAATGTAGGATTTACGATACTATGATTAATGTGCTAGAATTTAAAGCTGTTAAAAAGATAATTGTTCGTTCACAAATTCAAGACGTTGCAATAATTGTAATTCAATGCTGAGTGGATGAAGTGGTTCAGGGTGTATCAAATAAAGGACCATGGTAGATTGTTCATGTTAAGATGTTAGGTGATTTTTTTTACCAATTTATCTTGTTTCAGGCTAGGCAATTTCAACCCAATTGCTTTTGTTAGTAACGGAAATTGCACAGATGGTGAAAATGACGATCTACATGTTAAGAGCGATTACTGATACCGGAAATGACGCCAACGTCTTTACCAACCATTCATATAGTGTCATCTGCTAATATTTGAAAACAACAACTTAGTTCTTGAAAAAAAATGTTAAAATGAATCGCGAAATACTGGAATCATTATTAATAATAGAAAAGATGGGTGGAATCTTATGTCAACTTTATTTCGTCTGCTTTGAAATGGGCTAGGACTTTTAAAGCGAAAAAGATGTTCGAAACGGTGTGGACTTTTTTCATCACGTTGTCGGATTATAAATGTTGATAGCATACATGTGGTTTAAGTGTCCATTTTACCAACGATAATTTTGAGAAAACAAAAAAAATGAAAATAAGACCGGTTTAACCAGTTTAAATTGTACTTTACAAAATGAATGATTGATATAAAATAAATACATGTAATTAATGAACACCATTCCCAGTTCAGAGATAGGTAGTTTGTTTGCATAGGTCCAATGGGGATTTCTGGTTTTAAAAAGGGTGTGACTAAAACCGAAAACGGGCTTGACCAACATGCGCAATAGTGAGTAAGTGTTACGTGGGTAAAAAAATTACCGAAATGACTCAATTAAACGAACTGATAAAAATGTTTTGCCAAAACAAACAAGCCCATAAACAAATAGCTTACGATAACGTGACAACCATGCCAATTTTAGATTGTTTTGTTTTTTACTTGATAATATGTGTACATAATTTATTGCATGTGTATATAAAATTGACTGTATGTATACATGTATGAGTTGTTTAATAACATGTTTAACATATATTATCTAATATAAAGTATGCTTAATTATTTGTTAGCCTTAATCAAATGAGAGCTATTTTGTTTATATTAAGCTTTTTACGCGATTTTTATTATTAAAAAGTAGTTTTCATTCTTTTGGATTTTATATATGCAAATAACAGCCAGTAAATCCCGAGCGGTGTACAAGTATTTGTAAACAAAGAAACTTTACTAGTGAAAAATAACTGGAAGTTGCGTTTTCAATTATGTAAATATTTTACTGATATTAAATCAATATGAATTGAAACACATTGGACCGTTTTAAGTCTTAACATAAATTTGGCAACTAGGAGAACATAATCATTTTCTATTTGGTAATAGCAATTTAGGCTAGGATGCTTTTTGTCTGGAATCAAATTTAAATTTCTGTCATTTAAGGGCTATGTAGATTTGAATGATTGCGCATACTTGAAAAAGAATCCTTTTTCATTTTATCAATATTACTCATTGTCACTCTTTTAAGTTCACTAAACTTGTAAATAGATAAGTTGTTGGTTCAATCTTTCCTACGTTCTTTCTTTAGTTACGTTATAAGCTATTGTGTATTTACATGTGTACATCTTAAAATAAACAGATTTTTTTATTTCTCTATTGTTTATTATTATATGTTATGATTCTATTGGGTAAAATGTACAAAATACGACACAAATAAAACATGAATAAACACTAGATTGTTTTGTTATCTACTTATCATAATTATTTAAATGAGTTAATAAACAAACAAGTTACAAAGTCTAGGCACATTTTTGGTTGTGTGACTAAAGCTGTATTTTCAATTTGGTTTAAAGTCACATTGCCACCTGCTTTCAAAAAAGCGGAACCTTAGATTAAATAGACTAATAAATTAAACTTCATTTTATGATTAAGTACTGATTTCACACAACAGAATATTATATGTTATTTTGGTTTTGGAGTTATATATGTGGATATATTACCTGTTAAGATTTTATATCACCCGAGCCGTTAGGCGAGGGTGATATTTTATCTTGGCAGGTAATATATCCACACATATCACTCCAAAACCAAAATAATAATTTTATTACCCTTCCCCTGCCGAGTTTAGACGATTTTTTAAAAAATCATTGCTGTTTCAAATGAAACGTCGAAATAAGATTCCCTTTAGGATACCTCTTCGTCACAACATGACGTCACATAAATACATGACGTTTTTTTCCCGTACCTTACGAAAGTAAACAAGAGAAAAGGAGTAGTCTATTGAACGCACTTTTTTGTAATTAATATCAAGCTTTCACAAGGTCATATTTGTTTTCGATACTGATGGTAATATGTATCATTACTCTACTTTGGTAAATATTGATCATTTGACAGTTAAAAAGTGCTTTTAAATCGGAATTTACACCGCGTAAAATCGAACTGTACGCGCATCACCTCAGCGCATGTTGTTTACAACGTTCGGTACCAAACGGGGAAATTTAGTGTGTATATTACCCGTCTGGCTCGGTTATATCAATTTCTTTCGGGTGATCAATATCCAATCAAAAAGGCGGAAAAAATCTGGAAGGGTAATAAAAATGCATATTGTATGCACGACGTTACATCAATTCCAAGCTTGTCTGTCCTCGAACAGAAACAATGTACATATTGTACCGTTAATTCGACTTGCCAGTGACCAAACATATGGTTCGAGACACAAAAACAGACGTCCCACTGTGCACGGGGGAAAATGTATCAAAATAATCACTATGAAATAAATAAATCTATAAATAGGCCATATACATTAAAGGATCTTTGTTTTCCCTCCTGCGACCCAACAATGTTTTGTTTTAGGCCATAAGTAGATCTAGAATCATATTTACTGGTCCGGTCTGTACCGGGGGTTTTTAGGGTGTTGATCATATTTGTCACGAAATAAATAAAGATATTTACTTCAAAACCTGGAGAAACCGAGGCGACACGTGTCATATAGTCGCCCATTCTCAATAAAATAAAGCATTTGAGGTTGAAAAATATTAAAAATTTGATGTTGTCATTGTGTCATTTTTTATCGCTGAAGTAAAAGTTTAGGGTATTTTGCAAGTTTGCCAGAAATTTTTTGAACAAGAAACTATGATATAACAGGATGGCATTTATTTCGGTAATGACACTGTATTTCTTCGGTAACGTAGATTTCAGATCTAATAATGTAACATATTGGCTGCATATTAATAACAAATGTCTGTAAAATATATCAAAATCTGTAAATTCTCTATCTAGAGGGACTTTCTAACCCAGGAAAATTCAAGGAAATTGGGTACCTTGCTAATTTTCAGTTAATTCCTTCAAAGTTAAATATTCGTAGAAAGCAAAATTAGTCAATTTTGGAAATGATTATTTTATGTCTTCATTCAAAGGATATATATCATATATGATATATGAGAGGTCGAATGCATACACAAATGTTGTATTAGCAATTTTTTTTCAAAACATTCAACTTTCCACTTTCTTTATATTTGGAAAATTGATTGCTAAGCAGTTCTATATTTATCCCCATACAGGATGTCACGTATGTTTCATTTTATTCAAATGCAAGTAAAGGTTGAGAAAACAATTTTATTTTTTGTAAAATAATTTATATTTATGGATATTTTTTTAACATTATTATATATAGAATGAAATACGGCCAGTAAGCTCTTTGCAGAAACGAATTAGTTGTTGCTGAGAACATCAATATCTTGTAAAATATTTTTAACATTTCTGCTGGTACATCAACATATTATTAACATATCTTTCCTTTGTAAAAACAATTTTGTATCTTCTTACATCTAATACAAGGTAACCGTTACTAACAGGCATCCCAACTTTATCTTTAATTTTCAAAAAATGTTGAATTGTAAGTTGGAGTAACGTATGTTTCACACTCGCTTATTTATGAACTTTATCACGGAATTGAAACTTACATGTAAAATCGACTTTTTTATTCAGGAATCAAATGTACATCATTCTATTGTCATAAAAATGCGATTTTATGTTTTTATATATGCATGTGTAAACAATATAAAGTCTGTTTGATAAAAGTAACGTTTGTTTCACTGTGGTTACTTTAACAAGTTAAAACTCGACCAAAGTTCACAAAATTTACTTACTAATGTCAAATAGAAGTTAATGTTGCTGCTATACGTGCTTTCTGACTTTAAATTCCCTTTTGATAAACTTACTTTAAAAAGTTGATAACGTATGTTTCTGTAACGTATGTTTCATTTTTACATTGAAAGTGGGTTAAAAAATGAAGCAAGACCATTTAACCCGCCATAATTTGTGGTTAATATATCAGAGTTACACACATGTTAATTTTCTTTCTTGTTTGGATTCTTCTTTGAATGGATTGGCTCTTAAATAATGGTAACGTATGTTTCTTTTTAAAATGCTGTTGAAAAGATTTGAATAAAAAATGAAAATTTCCGAAAATAGAATGATATTTGAGAGGCTGCAAGCTTGTTTTTACTTATAATTATATATATGCTGTATTATTAAGCATGCATCGATTCAATTATGTAATTTCGGTTTCACTTCTTATTGTTTTAGGTTTGTCACTATTTATTTATATGCATTTGGCGACATTTGATCATCCATTATATCAATGAGATTTTAACAGTCAAATATAATTTTTACCAATAATCAAAGTTCATATACACACAGCAATGACTAATTGCACATGTTTCGTTTATTCCGGAACTTATTTTTCTGAAACACAATTTCAAAGTTGAAAATTCTAGGTGGCGACAGTAACGTATGTTACATTTTAGGGCATTAATGGTACTTGTAAAAGGAAAATAACAGATAGAAATGTAAAACTGAGAGTGCCCCTATTAGACAAAGTGGCAGCCACCTTTCTAACGACATTTTGACCTCAAGAAAAACCTTCGTAAAAGAGCTACCCAGTGGAACATCAAATGCTGTGTTTTATTGAGAATGAGCGAGTATTCGACGATCTCTAGATAGTATTTGTCGGTCAAAAATGACCAGGAGAGACCGGGAAACACCGAGAGAATACCGGCAAATAGTTATTTTATAGTTGGATTATTTTAATTTTTACATAATGCAGCCGTCTGTTAAATAATGTTATAGATCTAGCACATCTAGATAAGTCATGTACTATACACGTCCCACATTTGTTACAAGTATACATATTACAGGCTAGTGTAGATTTAATGCAATATTTCTACTGTTAAGTCCAATGAGTAGCTACACATATATTCTTAGATAAGAATAAGGGTGTCATCGTTCAATAACACTGTAATTATTTGTAATTTCCCGCCTAATCAAACTTGTACTTTTAGTGGTCCTCTAAAATCCGTAGATATACCGGATACCGATATTCAGTCTATAGATACTCGAAATCTCACGCGATATATCCTTACGCTAGAAACTCAATGTTTTTCAAATGAAAGATCTCTCGCAACGAATATAGTGTATTCATTTCAATGTATACCCTTTTATTTTGCTGGATC